AATTTCACACCGTGACAAGGAAACTAACGGAACACAATAAATATATATATTATTTTTTATGTTTTGTAAATCGTCGGCAAGCAACATATTTTATTCTTGACATAAAATTCAGTTACCGCCGTACTGTTTGTTACGCGTGATGTGTAGTGAAATAAAGCAACGGTACAAATGTTAGGGAAATGTTAATCACCTACATTTTTTGTTTGAGAGACCGCTGCCTAGAAGTCAGTGTGCATGCGGAAGATCCTGCGACCGGCCATCTTTGCACTTTTTCTTTCTTGGGTTTCCTCCCTCTTTAAGCACATCCTGAGATGGTTCTCAGTTTCCAGCTTGCTGCTGTTTGCTTCTCATGCAACCCCCCTGCTTAAATTGACGAAATCATTGCTGTGAAAGCCAGCAAAATTATTGTGGCATGTAGATCCGTTCCCGAGTAACGACCGCGAGATAAGTGAATATACAATAGCCGTTACTACGTAATGACTTCGCAAACAAGCATGTTTCCACGGCACAATCTGATTCTGTAACAGAGGAACGGTGTTTTCTGTGAAGTCCGTGCAGAGGTGTTATAAGGAAGACAGTAGAGAGATTCAGTCACCCGTGTGAAGGCGGGTTCGAATACCTCCACCGTAACCCTGCGAGTTGTTGGAGGCGACGATAAGGGAAGTCTCAAATTTGAGACAGTAAAATATGGTCCCGAGTCCCAAGGGACTCGGACCCGAGAAAGACTGCGCTGGCAAGGGCCAGGAGCATATACAAAAGACAGACCCACCATCTCGTCAGAGAGGCGCCGTACAAAAACAAAACCATAACTGTCAAACTAATAAATATCTAGTCATGAGCCCCAGTAGGGCTCGACACTAAAATTTACTGACTGACTGACTGTCAGTCGCAATGTGACTGGCTTTGAGAGATTCAGTACATCCAAGCAATGTGGCTCATTGCAAATTCCCCCTCAAAAAGGAGTGGACTAAAGCCACCATCTGCAATTCATGCAAAACCCGTCTCTAGTCACAGTCATACACGTGACATTTTTCCAAATTATGCAACCGGAGCCTTCTCGACCTTGAAGATGGATGCAGTTTGTTACACTGAAAATTTACCGAATTACACAGCGTCACTTTTGAGACCTCGCTTCTTGCTTTCTTCTTGTTTTCGTTAATTACTCTTCGCCTCTGAGCGTTGAGGGAGTACTTTCCTCCAAAAAGTTGGTGAACTTCTACCAGACTACACGACGTTACATACCAGAAAATCGTAATCTTAATATTTTTACCTCTTTCCCTAAAGTGTCTTAGGAAGCGTATACTTTTTAGCACCGGGATATTCAATTCTGATTTAAAATATTGTGCGAGTGTAAGTGAGAGGGTTGCAAGGCCTTACTCCATTTATGTGCTTCAGCCTAGCTTCATGTGAATTATGGAAGGCACAGACTTGTGGAACGGTCTGTGACGCAATGATGAAGTAAATCCCACAGTGATGATTCACATCAGTGCAGCAAACAGAATCAATGCAAACTTCCCTCCAGCAATATCACTGTAACAACTGGCGTGCTGCAGAAACCCAAGCACAATCTTTGCCACGGCGTATGTTTACTGAACAGGCGTGTTCAGGCCCGATAACTTGATATTAATGTTGAGGCCGTAACAAAATGCAGAGATTGACATGCCTTTTTCAAACACCGCTATGTCATTTTTCTGCCTGCTCTGTGACGTTTTACGAGATACGTTGTGAGTTGATAGGACTCAGAATATTGAAAATATAGCTATTCTCTGTCTGAAACATCATTGAAGGTACGTCATGCATTGAGAAGGCATCCTTACAGGGGGTAAGAAAGTTCTGTATGCTCAGCGAGATTCCCGATATATTGATTTTGTTTCCCAGTGTGTGCTCGAAATACAGGAAACCCTCGATAATCCGGATGAAAATATGAAATAAAATGAGAAATGCTGTTTACAGTGGAGTACGTACTTTTAAGACACATGACATTTAGGAAGGCAGATGAGTCACTTGTCTCTTCAGAAAAAACTTGACAGTTTCTTCAAACCTGCATTATTACGTTAAAAAACAAGTGCACCTTCTGAGTCATCTGTCGCTGTATAAATGTATTGTCTTTTTATAATTTTTAAATACAGGCTCTATGGTGATATTTCGCATGCTTATTTTCATCAGCACTACCTATATCATTAAAAGTTCCATTTTTTATGGTCTAAGCTTTTTTTTCTTCTTTTTAGGGCTACCCATTATTTCACTAATCCGGACGAGCTCCCCACAAATTACTCCGAGTTATCGAAGGTTTACTGTAAAGTGTACTAGCTTTCTGATGATGATGGACGTCACCATCTGGTGATGATGCATCTCAGAGACGATTCAGATAGATGTCACTTGTGTTGTCTTGGATAGCGATATAGTGACATATAAATATTTGCTTCTTCGGCTTGCGCGACCGCCTCTGTGGTCTAGTGGTCAGAGTTCCTGGCTACAGATCTAGAGGTCCCGGGTTCGATTCCAGGCGCTACCAGATTTTCTGAGAAGTAGTGGATCTGGAACGGGGTTCTCTCAGCCTCGTGAGGATAACGGAGGAGCTGTTTGAAGGAAATAGCGGCTCCGGTCTAGAAAACCGAGATTAACAGCCGTGGGGATTCATTGCGCTGACTACGCGACACCCTCTATCAGCAAAAGTTGGCACTAACTTCGCCGACAAGCGACGGTCGCTCGGTCGGTATAGTTCGCTTGCGGACTACAGACTGCAGAGTTCTTCGGCTTACGTTCTGACTCTGAATATAGGGACAGTATGTTCTTCCGAAACGTCAGTGAATTTCTACTAGACTACGCTTTTTCTTATCCTAGGTGACAGTAACCCGTACACGTTATTAGACGTTATCAGAGTCTAGCATTTACAGATAGCTTCAAGTGTCATTTACCTTCCGTGGTTTTAGATATAGCATTTCTCGACACAGGAGGATTTGCTCACAGGATTTACTGTAGTTCCCTAACTGAAGTAACTATTGTAGGACGTGTGAGGGTTATCCAGTGATGACCATTACAGTGCGTCACCCCTATTCCATCCCACACTGCAGCTACAACCAGTTCCATTGCTTCATGCTGTGTTTCTCACAGAATTCAAAATGGACTTGGTTAAGTCCTCTAAACGATATAAGGGTTGCTGTGTCTGCATGTGTTAATCACATACATCATATGCTAAATAATTCAATATATAAATATTTTAAAATAATTTAAAATTATATAAAATGATGTATTTTGTGCGAATTGTTAGTTCTTATGTTCTGTTCTTTGTAGCGATGTGTATTTCGTTGATGGTATCCTGGTTAAATGTGTTCTGGTTGGCAGTGTGTGTGTGTGTGTGTGTGTGTTTGATCTACCATTGTTTCAGAATGCTGAAATACAATATATTGTCGCGTGTAGGAGGGCTGTGCGTGACTTATAGACGGGTTTTGGATTGGATGATTGGATTTATTGACATCGTATTCACTCAGCTCGTAACTACAGTAAATTTAGCGCATTCGCTATTTCCACACTTTACAGTTCACTGTTACATATACTAGTGTCCTCAATTTTCACTAGTCGTATCCTTGCAACAGTCTCACTGTCACTGCAACAAACTACGAAGTCTTCTTTGTACAAGCCCATTCCTTTCTTCCCAGTTCTTCTCAATTATTGTGCCAACTTCGAACTACGGAAATCTCAGTTCTCTGCTGCAGCTGCCAACTCCGGAACTCGACTGCTTCAAATGATCCAATTTGTCCTTTTTTCAATTCCTTGGTACGGACCACGCAGAAAACACAACTCCTCTTTATTTGTGCTCGTTCAGTTAGGTGGAAACCTGCTTAAAGGGTCGTTGCTTAGCAATTTAACGTCTCATCTGGCTCCAATATTCCAACTTTCAGGCGTCATGTCAGAATATTATATTCTATGATGTGACGCCATCTATAAGTCCATAGACGTTTCGGAAGAGTAAGGGTAAGCCATGTAAGCATCACGTAGCAGGAGCTTTATGCTCTTTGTTGTTCGCTTGATTTTCACTTCGACCCCGAAAAATGAGGCAGTATTTTCATCCGAAACACTGCTGAACTTGACCTTACTGAGCACTACGCTCTGAAGGTGTATGGGGGAGTGGATCCTCGACATTACTTGGAGGTGGTTGGTCACCTTCACGCCCCTGTCGCTTTACCCTCGGGAAAGCGTCCCCGGTGCCCATTGTATAGGATGTTGGGTGGACCCCAGAGCTGGTCTGGACGTCATGGAGAAGCGAAAATTCTTGACCGTACCGGGACTCGAACTTCGACCCCTCGGTCGTTCAGGCCGTAGCCAATCGCTATACCGACTGAACTGTCCCGGGGTAACAGGAGGTAAATTTATAATAAATATGTGCAACCATAAATCGATGCTACAGGAAAATAAGCAGATTTCTGTGACATCGTATAGTCTGTTGAAAGTCAATCGATATTCTTCCGAAACGTCGGTTGATTATCCTACAGGAAAATAAGCTTCATGAAATGCTAGCGAATATCACTACTTGTACGTTCCAGTGAAATGGGTAATTAAACAAGGGGTGGGGATGGGGGTGGCGGCAACCTGAGTTGTTCTGCATACTGTACGGTATTCCATTCAGGTTGTATTTGTTCAAGGGGAAATACAGACGAGTGAAGGGAACCCAATGGCAGTATTCAAGCCTTTGGCAAGATTTGTAATCCGGAGTACAGTTCGGATTACATCAAATTTTGGGGAAATTGTTGAGTAGCTGGCCGACTGGCCAGAAACATTTGTAACTGATACGTCATTAATGAATTATTAAAGAATAAAGAACGGATATTAAAACAGAGCCAACCATTTTGCCCGTGGTTGCGTTTTAGATCTACAGTAGACCCGTACGCTTTGCCCAGTTGAGGTTCGATATGTTTGATGTGACTGGTAGTAGGCTTAAGTAGCGAGAGGACGCATGCGTCGTGGTGTCGGCCAATGTTCAATGGCTGTAGGGGGGCACTGCAAGCAGTGCTGTGTGGGCTTTGCTTGTAAGCGGAGTGAATCCAATGTTTTGGTGTTTCCGAATCTTATTTGTGTCTGTTTTGTGTGTACTGACAAGTGAATGTGCATGAGACTTGCGGGTAGCCTAATATTTTAATTTTCCAGGCACTAAGAAGACAAAGACCACATCATTTCAGTTTCAGTATGTAATAAATACATGTCACTTTCTTTGCCTGCTAATGGTGGGCATAGTGAATACAGTTTTTGTCAACAGTGTTACTATAAATGTTAACGCAGATTTAGTATTTTGTTTGCATTTAAATGGAAATATGGACATATTCATTATGGACTGTTGTTATATTATGTAAAATCAGTGAAGCATATTAAGGTTCTTAGTTACATATTGTCAACATTTCAAAAGCTAAGATATAGCTCCGTTTGTTTTGTTTGGCGGAAATACACAATTTCGTTTCACATATCGAACTGCGTCCGAAAAACTCGCTTATCGTAAAATATGTTAATTATAACGGTACTGTTCTTCATTTGTCTACCATCTGTCAAATTGCACTCTGGTTTATAGTCTCTTTACAGTACTGTTATTACTGTGTCACTTGCTTTAATATTTATAGTGACCCCGATTTCTTTCCTCAGGGCGTATTTATGTGTTTTGTAAGATATCAGAATAATTGGCGATTATTTCCATAATGGATTAGTCCTTTAATGGGCACACAGTGTTTTGTGCGAGACGGGAGCTAAATCTGTTTATATCGGAAATGGAGAAACGTCAGTCTGTGCTCTGTTTTAGCTTCGGACATATTTTCCTGACTAGATTCCGAGATGTATATGTATTTTGAGAGCTCTAAAACGAGAGTTTTCCCTGGATTTATAAAATGATAAATAGTTTTCAACGTGTCACGAAACGTTACCGCAAGTGTATTGCTTCTTTACTAGGAAGTTAAATTAAAATATTGATTTTTTTCGTCCATTTTAACGTATGATAATAATCCTGGAAATATTTATGTTATGAAGGTTCTTAATGAGAGTAGATGGTAAGCCCACAGAGTGTATTTGTGTATTCCGTTTGGTTCTCACAGTAAACAGCGACTGTTTCCCTAAACAACATTAAGCGGTTGGGCTTTGTAGCGGAGACGTAATGTGTTTCCTAAGAGGTACGGACTGAACACACCAGAACTCTGCACTCTGCCCACAGAGTGTATCTATGTGTTCCATATGGTTCTCACAGTAAACAGCGACTGTTTCCCTAAACAGCTTTAACCGGTTGGGCTCTGTAGCGGAGCCGTAATGTTTCTGTAGGGCACGGGCTGAACACACTAAAACTGTGCATTCTGTCCACAGAGTGTAGCTGTGTGTTCCGTATGGTTTTCACAGTAAACAGCGACTGTTTCCCTAAACAGCTTTAACCGGTTGGGCTCTGTAGCGGAGCCGTAATGTTTTCTGTGGGGCATGGGCTGAACACACTAAAACTGTGCATTCTGCCCACAGAGTGTATTTGTGTGTTCCATATGGTTCTCACAGTAAACAGCGACTGTTTCCCTAAACAGCATTAACCGGTTGGGCTCTGTAGCCGTGACGTAATGTTTTTTGTGAGGTGCAGACTGAATTCTAATACATGCAGATCAATTTAAAGCTTTAAGCGAAGAATATTCGTAACAACCGTATGCACATATGTGGCTTTCTGGTTGTTCAGGATCCATGACTGTTAAAACATAACAAGAAATCAATACTGTCCAGGAACGTCAGAATGTACTACCTGAAATATTAATCTTCACCAAACACGGTGGGTTCGCAGTGGAAATGTACAGATGCTAATGTGTGAGGTTCGTATTCTGACATTTTATTCGTGCGATTGCGTTCAAAAACAAATGACATAACAGCGATCAATATTCAGTGGCCGTGGTGTAGCCTTGCTTCTGCGTAGCCTACAGACGTTTCGTATGCCACGAGTTTCTTCGTGCACGGTAGGTTGTTATGGATTAATTTAACAACACTTTTCCAACTGCATAATTCGTGTAGCGTCAGACGGTAAAGATATGAAGTTCTAATCTGGGTATTGATATTACTGTTGTATGGGATGTGACGCCGTGTAGTTTGGCAGTTAGGTACGAGCTTTTCAGAGAACTTGGGGCATGAATTTTCGCATATACCGTGAAGACGGAGGCGGCAGATTCCTACGAAATGTTGTTTATTTTATGATGCTGTCAGGAGCCTGTCCGTATAGCGCCGAATAGCGTGATGCCTGGCGAGTGTAGCATTTGGCCAGTGGCGGGCTGCTGTGTAAACTGTAATGGTTCGTCGAGTTCCACAAAATTTTCGTCATTTCCTGAGTAGCTGAGCAACTGGTAGCTTGTATAGAAGGGGACTCAACTCCATGGAGTAATTCACCAGCTTTCTTGCCATATATATCTACAGAATTATGAGGTGTGACGTTCTCGCGGCAATAAATATGGAGGTGGCTGTCTTGCACATTATAACGGCTTGAAGTCATCTGATAGTAACTAACGTTTCGGAGGAACTTCCTGCCTCCAGCATCAGAAATGAATGTAGGCAGAGGCTGAGGGCGTCCTTTAAAGTTGTTAATGACGTAATCGGCTACACGGTAATATCATCATCATCATCATCATCATCGCCGCCAGGGTATTTCTTTTCCTACCCTTTCCGTCCAACTCTTAATATAGATTGATCCTTTTAGCGTAAATTCGGGCGGCCAGTGGATCTAGTTCCGTTAACTGTTCTGGAATTCTTTGACGCCCCTTTCTTTCAGCATGAAGAATCTAATCAGGTCTGTTATTATGAAAATTTTATATACAATGAACGTATTGAGTTCATTTCTAATCAGCGAGTTTTTTTGTAATCTGAATTTATAATGTGTAGCCATATGGGAGCCGGAAGATCTCAGTCGGTATAGCGGCAGGCACCGGCTAGGCGGCTGGAATTCGATTCCCATCAGAAGCAAGCGACTTTTTTCTCATCGACAATGTCCACACCCACCCAACCTCCTATTAAGTGGGTACTGTGGGCTGTTTCCCCGGGAATAAATCGAATGTAGCTTGAAGCTGACCACTCATCTCCATCTAGAGCGGAGGTCACGAATGGTGGAGCTATATCTCCACTTCCCCATATACGTGATTATCAATTAATTAAACTCAGGGACAGCCTTCCCTTTCTGTGGGCCTGTGACGTAGGATGTTGGGATAATTAGTGAAAGTGAATTGGAAAGAATATATGGGCGCGCGGTAGCGATGTTGGTTGAGGTACTTTGCTAGAAGCCAGAAGGTCGCGGGTTCGATTCCCGACGAGGTCGCTGAATTTTTTAATTGACGTAATCCTTCCAGCCTCAATATGGCCCTGGGGTCGACTCAGACTCCAACATAAATGAGTACCAGGAATATTCCTGGGGATAAAGGGCGGCCGGCGCGTAAGGCTGACAACCTCACCGCTATCTGTGAGCCGATTTTCTAGAAAATGTGGGAACCTCGATGTCTCACAACCCTATGGACCTTCACGGCCTGTTACAGGGAAAGCTTTACCATTCGGCTGAACGGGGCTGATGAGCATCACGAAAGGCTTCAGCGATAATGCTCGGTCTCTGGGCCGAGCCTGGACCTCGGGATCTCCCGAATACAAAGAAGAGGCGCAACCAGTGGACCGTGACTCGTGACAACATAATGAAGAATAACGCACAACAAATATCCATACCTAAACTGGGGTTCGAAACCTGATTCTCAATAATGACGCGGCCTAAGCCCGCACTAAGAGCCGGGATAGCGAGTGGCTACGGGCTGGACGACAAAGATTTCGGAGTTCGAGTCCCAATGAGGGCAAACATTTTTTATAAAAAGATTAGTAATGCTATCCAGTGTAATGGATAAAAGCTGTTTTTTTCAATCTTTCATCCTTTACATGTTTCGGTCTGAGCGATCATCTTCAGAAGGATATTATCAATACATACCGAAACTACTATTAGAATGTCATAGATATAAAATATCATATCCTTTAACAGTTACTAGGATGTGGATGAATTTGTTAAAACGTTTACAAATTATTATTAAATTTTCTTTTTAAATTCACTTAGTGGACGGTGGAGTCCAGCTGGGTCCACTCGGCACGTCGGCCACTGATTGGCCTATTGTACCTACCCCGGGTGGTTATGATGATGGAGAATTTGGTGGAATGAAGTTTGGCAGGGGAAACCGAAGTACTCGGAGAAAACCCGCCCCAGCGCCACTTTGTCCACCACAAATCCTACTTGAGGAGACCCGGGATCGAACCCGGGCCGCCGCGGTGGGAAGCCAGCGACTAACCGCTTGAGCTATGGCGAGGCCTTACAAATTATTATAATTAGTCTATTTATAAATTATAGTTTAAAAAAACTTTTTGTTCCAATTTGGTTCATGTCCTTTATACCGCTTTTCTTTAAAGGAAGATTAGTGTCATCCTGTTTTTCTTTCCGCGCTGTGTTGTATATACATACTTTATATAACATGTAAAATGTAACTGTACATACTGACAACAGGCTTATTACTGCTGACTGTAACTCTGGCAAACGGCAGACCCGCCCTCTTGTCAGAGAGAGCGCCCCACATCAACAAACCTGCAACTCTCTGACAGCAATAAAGATCTGGCAGTAAGCCCCAGATGGGTGCTTTATTCCAAGATAGACTGGCCAACTGACCGACTGACCGTCGGTCGTAACATAAATTTCACTTTGAGCGTAGTCAGTTGATAGTCCTGTACGGGAGCATGTGAAGATAGGACTTAAGCCGGAGTCAGAGGAATAGCCATTGTTAGAGCCGTTACGAGGGAACGTCAAGTAACATATGAGAACACTAGACTGTGTGCTATAGTGAACTATAAAGTGTGGGAATCGCGATAGTGTTTTGGTTAGTTGTAGTTAGACCTGTAAGTGGTCAGCAGATCCATTCACCAGTCCAGACCCCGATTGTGGTCACACATACTCGTGGCAGTATTTTAAAATGTGTACATTTGTTTAGGAACGATTTTAGCGCCAATAAATATTTATAAAGCATCGCTCTAGAAGCGTCCAGAAACGCTTGCAGATCTTCGTGTGAAGTGTTCGTTATTTCAGTTTGGTTTAAACCGAAATTAGAATATTCTCTCAAATTTTAATATGACTTCCCAGTATCAGATTTTATGAAAATCCTTTAAGTGGTTATTATGTGG